ACTTGCTTGCTCTCTGATAATCTTGCTCTTGCTATGGAATCTTTACAGCCAAGAACCAATCTATCTCTAACCATCTCATCTTCGAATGTGCCAAATTTGCATGGTTCAGCTAACTGACGTAGTCGAATTACTAACTGGTCTATGGTTTCATTGGGTTGTTGTTCTGCGTTGTGAAAAACATATCTTTCATACAGAACGTTGCATTTTGGTACGAAGTGTGCTTCTAACTTATCTAAGATTGTCTGAGGCTCTTTCATTTCATCATCTGCGAGTTGCAATCTTTTCAGTATTTTCTTACACTCTGTAAGCTCGGTTATTAAGCATCCTTTTTTGGGGATGCCCGGTGGCCGAGGGGAAGACGTGTAGTGGCGTGAAGCTAGGCGATTAGGTGCCGTACGCGAGCGCCGGTTCGAGTCACGCACGCAGTACGTATTTACTATAATTAGACATAGTCTTTACCTTGCCGTTTATTCGGTGTTATTTGCTTACTTTACTTCCTATGTCGACAGCAACTATGAGTCGAAAATAGAACGTCCTTGAGTGCAATAAAATCACGCGTAGAACTCCATCCGAACCAGCGTAAACTTATTGCAATTTGCGCGAATTGGGCCCAGTTTGTTCTTACAAGCTTTCTAAGTTTCATTTATCATTATTTAGTAAACAGGTCTCTGAAACGATTTAATATATCCGTAAAATACGTGGCAATCGACAATTGACTTCGAAACGTTCGAAATTTCGAACAAACTCCCGGCACACCTAGCGCGATATGCGTCAGATCGGTGTAGAAGACGCCGAACTGCAGCGTCAATGGCGGGAACCAGCCAACTCTGCCACCACACACCGCCATTTTGTGGTGAAACACCACAAGACTTTTACTACGCGTATTATTTGCGTATTTTTGTTATTAGAGGGATCTTATGTTGATTTATTACTACTGGAAAACAAGTTTTAAAATATTTTATCATAGCTGATAACGACATTTCCGTAAATGCACTGTCAAGGGTGAAATAGTTATAATTTACAGAAGAAAATAATTTCATGCGGCGGAATAACGGTTGCTAAGGTGTTACTCGGTTCATCAAGCTGACGGCCCTGTCGATCGCTAGGCGAAGACATATGAAGAAAGGAAAGCACTTCGTGGTATTGACAGCGAACACGTTCTATTGCCACTCCGTTTGTGCTAAGGAAAGTAAAAACATGAGCTTCTCACTGTGAAAACAGCCAGAATCTACAAACAACGACCATGTACTTAGTGGGATTAGAACGT